ATTGAAATGCCATGCAAAAATATTTTGAGAGCAGAGACGAAAATTGATTGATTTTTGGCTAGCCAACGGAAAGTGCGATTTAAATGGCAAACCCTTTCGCCCCCCTCTCGTCGACGCCCCTTCGAATTTCCCTGCGGCCGGCACTCATTGATATAATTACAAAGTTTTGTTGGCCAGTTGATGAGCCAGTTGGAAAACATAATCAAGAATGCGATAGCCGCCCACTGCTGCTCCTCTCTCCCTTTCCCTCTTAGCCGAAAAAGTTTTAATTTCAAATGAAGTTTGAACAAGGAGGAGAGGGTGAAGTTTTTTGTGGGGAGGATGGGCAATAAAATAATCAAAGCGTGCACAAAAGTGCAATGAGAATTGCCGAAAAACTGGTAACAAAAGTAAGCAAAATGAAGAAGGGACCAGAGAGAGCGGCACGGTGAGAGAGAGAGCTGGCAATGCCATCATCCAAATAGTGGAAGAAGCCAAAAGGCATTGGGCGAATACGGCATTAGGGATAAACGCTTAATGATACCCTTCACTTAAGGAATTAAAGTTATTAAATTATATACTTATATAAAAAATATTCTACTTAAATTGAGTTTAGGGAGTCTGTAATTTAAGTATGTGTTTTGAAAACCTCATTTAAGATGAACCACCGTCAAGTGAAAACCAATATGCCCTCCTGTCTTTGATTGCTCTTCTTACAGGGCATCTGGACAGCGAAAAAAGGGTTTGCCCAGCTGCGGGCCAGTGCAAATTTACCTGAAGACAAAGAGCGAAGGTGAAGAAGAGAGTGGGAGTGGCACAAGACCAAGACCAAGAGCTAGAGAAATAGTAAAAGCCAGAGAGAGACCGTAGGGGGGGGGGGGGGTTGCAGTAGGCAAACTTAACAGAAAATCTAGTCGAAAAATGGACAAAGTTGGGTAGCAAAGGAAGCGAGGCGCCCCAAAAAATGCCAATGCGCCGTTAGTCCGAGCGTAATGAGAGTCAGCAGTAAATGTGGGTGTGGGAATGGGACAGCTATTATGCGCCATTAGGGCATAATTAAAATGCTCAAGCAGCGGCTGCAACAACAATAACAGCCAAGACGCTGATAATGACAACACAACGAAGGCGAAGAATCGCTCAGGTGAGAGGGTAAGGAAGCTTAGAAGAGGGATAGAGAGAGAGATAAAGCGGACGACAAAGTTGTCAAAGCAAATAGCGGCTGGATAGAGCGAGATGGCACTTGGCGACAAAACCTAGTGGGAGCCACAACAACTGCCAGAGAGGGAAGGAGGGAGGGAGGGTGGGTCATAAAACGGATAAGTGCAAAGGGTTATCAGAAGAGGGGCTAAGGCCGAGGGAGATAGAGTATCCTTTCCTAAAGACAGCAAAAGCCAAGGCAAAGAACAACAGTTACAGATTTCAAGCTTGGCTTTCTTTTAGGTTTCATTTTCACTGTTACAGGGGAACTTTGCTAAGTGCTTTCTTTTTTATACCCTTGCAGGGTATTTTCATTTTAGTCAGAAGTTTGCAATGCAGTAAAAGAGAAATTTTCTACATTAAAAAGTATATTTAATCTTGATCAGCAGCGGCTGTTAATAAAAAATTAAAAATTGATAGCCAAATAACTTAATTTATATTCAATTTATTTATTAAATATTTAAATATTTAAGCAAATTCCTTCTAATATATTATATTCATTCAATATGTTTCCATTGATCTATGCTTTGCGTTCAGTAACACTCTCCATAAAGCATTTCCTTTGCCATTTTCTCACTTTTCACTCCCATTTATGTACTCTTATTCCCCCACCTCTCTTTTTTTCGCCTCCCCATCAATCTGTGCAATGAATTTTGGCAATTAAGCAATCACTTCGCTCATATGCTAAGAGAAGTTGAGAGGAGCAGCGATGCAGCAGGGAGCCAGAACTCTTACTTCAAAGATGCTCAAGAGCAGCCCCTGGGCCCCACTTCTCTCACTCTCACTCTCTCCCTCACTCTTTCGCAAAACTCAACTCAATGAAATGTTTGTCTGTTATATGTACCGTTTTTTTCCCCCTATTTTTCGGGAGTACAGCTCCTTCTGCTTTTCCTGATGATTGCCGTACGCTACAACAGGCAATCTATGGGAATAAGGATATGCATATGTTCGACTGTGTGTGTGTGTGTGTGTGTGTGTTATATGCATTTTTATGGCACTGCTTTTGATGGGAGCCAGAGAAAGAGCGTGAGAGAGAGGGGGAGAACATAGAACGCTCTCGAAAAAGCAAAAGTTTTCACTTCAAGTGCTTTTTTCGTTCTGCTTCGGGTTGTTTTTCTTTTCTTTTATTTTTTTTTTTTGTTACCATTTGTTGTTGCTGCTGTTGTTGTTGTTGTTGTTGCATCATCATTCGCCTGGCAAAAGAGTTTGAGCACTTGAGTAGCATTAAAGCATCAAACGATTGTCTACCAAAGGCAATTGACTTCCCCGCTCAGCAATACCGGGTCATGCATGCAAACATACATATGTATGTGTGCGAGGGAAAGAGATGGGTAGATGTAGTTACGAAAGAAGAGTCCGAAATTGGTTGCCAAGGTAACGAGCTAATACATTGGGAAAACATTGCAAATACGAAGTTTAAAGTACCCTTTTTAATTAGGCAAATAATAAAGAAATTTATAATTAAAGATTTTATAAATATTCCATATTTTTGGGGAAATTATAATGCTGTAATATAAGCTACATACCTATAAAGTGCTTAGAAAATTAAATTCATATTTTTCTAGAAGCAATTTTAAACCTTTTCGGTTACAAAATTAATTAAATCTAGATTATGAAATGAATAAATATATATTTTAATACATTTTGTACATATTTTACTATTTTAGGATATCAAGGATTTTCTTAGAAAGTTTCGTCTTGCTCTAGCAGCTTTTATTTCGCTTTGTGTACTTCGTCATCAATCACATTTCCCGTTATAATGTGGGACAGTAACAAGGGGAAAATAATCGGCGATCCAATCGAATTCATTTGTTCATTATTGTCCCTCTGGAAAACACTAAGAAAAATGAATAAATCATTTCAATAAAGAGGCTAAATAATTTATGGTAATTGGGAGAAAATAAAGTGATGTGAAAACGTAAAAATTGAAATGGAAACACCCCAAAAGATTCAAATAATAATTTCCATAATATTTTTACATATTTTGTGCCATTTATATTTAGCACATAATTTTATCAAGGCCCCCATTCCAGGTTTTCCTCTCCATTGCATTTTCAATTGCAACATAATCGGGCACAAAATCCAGCAAAATGTTGCAAATATAATAATAATATAATCATTGTTTTTGCTACAACTGAATCGGTATATTGGCATTGAAATAATTTAAATTATTTTCACATTGCATTGGAAATTATGGGCAAACAATTAAGCGGACAGTTTTTGGCCTTTACCCGCGGCCAATTGCTGTTTTCTATTAACTCTTTTAGCCCAGAGGGGCTTAAATAACACACAAATACACACACACACACCCACTCACAGTTGGCCAAATTGTGTCAATAATACGGATACAGAGAGCCACATTAAATTCCATTTGAATATTTGCAGTTTTTATTCAGTTTTATGCTGGCAAAAATGCAATTAAAATGTAAAAATTTATTAAGCTACTTGTGCAATTTTCCTAATTACGTGCATTAAAAACAAAAAAGGGGGGGTAAAATTGGGAAAACTGGGGAAAATGGGAATTTTACACGATTTGCTGGGAGTTTTGTGTTGGCGCCCAAAAGTAGACTAAATATTGCAAATTCGATTGTACCGCCTTTGCTGTTGCATACTTTCTGGCGCTGGGCGACTTAATGACATGCAAAGTGAAAAACACTTTTCCCCTTGTTACCATTGCTTTCAATTTGTACTGTATTTAAATTGAGTGTGGAAATTCGTCTCAGAAGTCAAAGAAAAGGTGGGAAAATCAAGACAAGATGAGAGTTTTGTTATGCTTTTTACAAGAGATTTATTAACCCAAAATTATTTGGATTTATTGACCGATTTATTTGATTTTCTGCATTTAATTATTGATTCTATTTATTTTATTTATTTTTTGTCGATTATTTTTGATTATCTAAATTTATTTATCGATTTATATGATTGTCTGTATTTATTGATCGATTTGTTTGAATATATGCATTTAATTAGTGATTTATATGGTTATTACAATTTATTTAATTATCTGCATTTATTTATCGATTCTTTTTGTTAAATGCATTTCTTTATCGATTATTTTTTGAATATCTGAATTTATTTTTTGATTTTTTTTGATTGTTTGTATTTATTTACAGTTTAATTTGATTATCTGCTTTTAATTATATGCATTTAATTATCTGCATTTATTTATTGATTTATATGATTATTTAAATTTATTTATCGATTTATTAAATTATCTGCATTTATTGATCGATTTATTTGATTTTCTGCATTTTATTATCGATTTATTTGATTATCTGCATTTAATTATCGATTTTTTTCGATTATTTGCATTTATGTATTGATTTTGTTATTGTCTGCCTTTTATTGTATTGCTTTTTCTTAATTCTCTGCATTTATTTTTCAATTCATTTGATTATCTGCATTAATTTAACGTTTTTTTATTGTATTTCTTTAAAATAAATCTTATATATTATCTCATACTGATAACAAAAGTTGCAAAAGTTATTGTAATGTTACATTTTTCCTTATTTTAAAACTCAACCTCTTTTATTATTAACTTTTCTTTTCGCCACACTCTGCTTCCTATTGGGACTCGCTTTAGTCGGTCCAATTTCCATTTCAATTTCGGTTTTTCCCTTTTTTTTTCAAAGCTGTCACCGAACATGATTTATGCACCGCCTCTGTGGGGGCGTGTCCCTTCTATTGCTGTCACTATTTCTCTGGTTCGATGACAGAATCAGCCATTGATCGATGCAATTTGCAAAGGGATTAATCACTTAAAAAAGGCACTACAATAATGGAAAATATACTATAATTATTTATTTTATTCTTTCTTCTTTCAGTGGGTGAAAAACTGAGGTCACTTTTGGTAATAGGCAGCATCCTGATGATGAGTTTGGTTCTGGTGCATGGAGAGGACTATGATCATGGCTCAAAGGACTTGCCCCATGTGAGACATAAGCGTGGCATCATTTGGGACTTTTTTCAAAAGATGGTCATTACCAAGAATCTTATAGTAGATGTGAGTAACTAAGAAATTTTATAACTAACTAAGAGTAATTAAATTTAATTAATTTTCTTAACTTTTAGCAATACACGGACACTCGTAATACTCTGAATGATATATACAATGTGGTAAATGAGCAATTTAGTGATCCTGGTCCTCAAAAGCCTACCAGTAGTCCCAGGATCACCACAGAAAAGAATGTGAGTTGGGATCTTTTATAGATTAATATATATTAATAATATCCTTATGACCTTCATAGTCCTTGCTCAGTGGAGAGGACACGGGCAGTAATAGCGAGGAAACCACTACCCCGTTTTCGATTTCCCGCTACGAACTGGGTCGCATTTTGGGCAGGAATTTCCGTGGACTCCAGAAACTGGCCATGAAGGAATTCAATACCGCTCTAAATGTAAATCAAATATTAAATACATGATTTTCTCTTTGTGTACTATTTGTTTCCAATATCCTTTTATAGGCCACAAGCTACAATCTGGCTGAGTACAAAGCCGAGGCGGACAAACAGTTTGCCAATAGTCTGGCCGTTGAGAAGAAGAACAAACTGAAAAGCCTTAAGGGTTGAGCCACGCCCCCTCCTTGTGTTCCAGTACGCCCCCCGTGCCTGAATGTTATCTCTGTGATAGGCTGATGACTACCCTATATATATATATTATTTTTTCCCCTATTTATTTGTTTTGAAACGAAATAAACTATGAGAGGACAAGGATGAGGTCGTGGAGGTGTGTTGTCCCCAAACGCATGGGGATTCATGTCTACGACTATTGTGCGTCAAATTAAAAAGTTTTCTGTCATAATTTTATTGATAAACTTTTAAGTTAAAAAAGAGAGAAAAGAAACAAAACTCGGAGCAGAAAACAAAAACTGAAAATGGGGAAATGAAAACATTGTGTGAGATGGAGAAAAACTAAAAGCAGATTGCAAGGATTTGTTTTGCAAACTAAACTTAAACTAAACTAAAGACCTAATAAAATATATATTTAAAATGATTTGTCTATTTTTAATTATTTATATAAAATTTAAAAAATCTAAGATGATTTTCATATGATTTCCCAGTGAAATTGTAACCCAGAATGGCTCTGTTATGTGAATGCAAGTTTTGTGTTGCCTGAAATCGAAGTAAAGTTGCATATCATAAAAGATATGATGTGTCTATCTTTAATTATTAAAAATAATAATAAAATTTACATAATCTGAGATGATTTTTAGATGATTTCCCAGTGAAATTGTAATCCAGAATGGCTCTGTTATGTGAATGCAAGTTTTGTGTTGCCTGAAATCGAAGTAAAGTTGCAAACAAAATCCAAAAAGGCAAAACTTGCTAAAATACAAAGACAGTTTTTGGGGGTTTTGTGTCTGGCCCTTAGCAAGGATCTCACTGCTCCTTGCTCCTGTGTCCTGTGTCCTGGTTTTGCCATTTCTCTCTCTCTCTCTCTGCCCGCATAGTTAGCAGAAACCACTAAAAGTGTCATAATTCGATGCCCATGAGATGGCTGTCTCGAAAGTACGTTGGCCGACAAAACTTTGGCGGTAATGACTGTCGGATCCTGCTAGCCCCTTATCCCCCTCTGGAAAAGGCATTGGGAAAACCACCCGGAAACTCCCCCCTAAACAGCCTTGTGGTGCAACTGTGCGTATGAGCAACCTGCCTTGGTCCGTCTGCAAAGTTCTGCCGGGGGAAAAACAACGGAAAAGCCAAAAAATACCAAGAGAGTGTTTGCCAGCCGGAAAACTTATCGAAAATGCAGCTGCCGTGGGGTTGGAAAATTTCATGGGAATGGAAAATATCTCTGAGATAAACAGATTCCTCTGCACTTTAATATTTATTCCACAATTTGATTATCTTGTAGCCAATTGGGAGATGCATATTAAGTTTCGTATTTTTAAAAGCAGGAAATTCAATGCAAAACATATGAAATATAAATAAAAATAGATAAAACTTTAAGCATCAAATTTTTGTAATAAATAATTGATTCAGAGAATTGTGTAAACTGACACATTGCGTTGCATTACTAATAATTGCTTTAACAGCATTTTCTCTGACTATTTCCCTTTGAAAAAATATAAATAAAATAACATACAAAGCAGACAAATCTCCATTTACTTAAAGTTTCCAGAGTGATAATCTGATTTATATATAAAATGTTTATTATTCTGTTGATTGTGACATGTGAGTACTCGACTGATTGCTTTAATTGTCTCACATTTTCTTTTTTTCGGGACTGCGACGCATGTGCAATTATGAGTAATTTGCACAATAGAACAATTAGTTTAACAACACTACGAGGCGTTCCAGTTTTAGTTAAACTCTGACAAAAATAATAATAAACTTTAGCAATAGCAATGCGGAAGCTTTGAGTAAATCAGCTGAGTAATATCCAATCTAATCGGGGTTTTATATAAGGTCCAATCGATCAAACTCAATTAGTGGGTCTTAATTCGATCAATCGATCGGGAAATTTAGTTCTCTACGAGCATTGTCATTCGGGAAATGTCTTGGCATTCATTAAACAGAAATACAAACAAAGTACAGACAAATAAATACGACTTAGTGTCATTGGGACATCCGCACTCATAAGTGAATAAATAAATTAGCTAAACGAAGGCAAGTCGATCAAATAGAAACTGACCGAAAAGGTAAACAAGCGCCGAATGACAAATGGCAAGTAAATAAAAATAAAATGGTAACGAATCGCAGAGTACCCTGGAAAAATTAGTGAATGAATTCCGTAATTAAAAATAAAATAAATACAGGCGAGAAGAGTTAAGTAAATCCCAGATTAAGTCTTTAAGAAGAGAGAGAGAGATGTTATTTATCTTATGGCTTTAGTAGGTCTTTTTTTAGGGTTTTATTATATGTTTTGTTATTAAAGAATACCAAGTTCATTTAAAATTCTATTTAATTAAATATTTTTATTTTGTTATTTGACAAAACTAAGTTGATTAAAACATCTATTAAATTTAAGCTTTTATTATATGTTCTGTCACTAAGCAAAACTAAGTTTATTTAAAAATCTATTTAATTGAATATTTGTATATGATTTGTTATTAAACAAAACTAAGTTTATTTAAAAATCTATCAAATTGAAAATAAAAATCTTTGATAATTTACACTAATTTATTTTAAATTTACATCAAGATCTACTACGAAATAAATCATATTTAATTAAATAAAAAGCTCTATTATTGTGATGGATTCACCATATCATATACCCTTATTATACCAACTCCAACGCCTCCATTAAAATGTAGTTCACTTTAAAATATATATCATTATTCAACAATTGGTTCCCAATGATCTCTTTCTCTTCCCTCCGATCTCTGTACGAATCGTTAACAATCTGTGAGAAACCACTTTAAAATTATAGATTCTATTCGTCATGGTGACTGATCATCATCGTCTATATAATTTTCATGTCGGTTGATTGAGGGTTTAGAGTGAGTTCCAAGGGAAGAGTTTTATTTTATTTTGCCATCCACAATCCCCAAAATGAATGTCTCACATTTCTGCACACGATTCGAGACAAGTTGTTGTATTTAGCGGAATCACTTTGAATAATTACGATTCAAATGTAAATCACTTGCGGTTTGCTTTCTTTTCAACTTATTTATTGCCCTAAAAGTCACCGCCTTTGTTTTCATTTTTCCCAATAACTCAGCTTGGTTTTGTTTGTTTGTTTTCCTTGTTTTTATTTTTTTTTGATATATTTGTTCTTTTTGTTAAGAGGTTAAAAAGAACATTGAACTTTTGAGGGGGTTCTTTTTTGTTCAAGTTTGGGTTTATTTTATTTGGTGGGAATAATAATGAAAATCGAACTTTAATAATATAAACTTGGCTATTTTAGGTTTTAAATATATAAGAGAGTAAGAGAGTAATATGTAGATTTACTTTTATATTTAAGTTCAACATTTTCTATTTAAGTTATATGTGCTTTTCCTATATTTGAACTAGTTTTCATGAATATTTTTCTTTAATATTTCTTTAAACTCTAAACTCTGATCACTTTGCTTATCTATAAATATATATTCCAATATATTTTTCTTGACCTGGGGGATTTTTCTTTATTTTTGCCTTATGTCTGTCTTGATTAATTAGCAAATCTGTGATCCCCAGCTAATCCCGTCTTATCAGCGCTCTTAATTAAGTCGCAAAATACAGATCACGAGTCCAACATCACTTGATTACGCATTTATTCATATAGATCACAAGAAAAAAATATAAAACAAAAGTATGAAATATTATGCAACAAAGGGAGGGAGGGACTAAAGGACTCCTCCAGGATTTCAGGACTCCTCACAGGGCTGGTGGTGGTGATCCACCAATGGGGGCCAGTGGCACCTTCTCGGTGGGAGCATCATAGGCAACCGGCGCCTTTGGCGTTGTGGAGGCTTCATCCGTCAACTTGTGCTTAAATTCATCATATTTCTGGGCCACCGAACTGCCAAAATCCTTGGCTCCCTCGCCAATCTTATCGGCGAAGGGTTTGGCAGCATCCGCCACATCCTTGGCCCCCTGATTGACCTTGCAGCCCAGATTCTTGAAGAAATGCGTAAGGCCACTCTCATCGGGCGCCTTCTCATCGTCACAATCGCATCGCACTCCGGCGATGGCAACCAGGAGCACAAGTCCAATCAGAGAATATACCACAAACGATTTCATCTCGACGCTTTCAGTTTGAATTCACGACTGAATCGTCGTTGGGTCGCAACTCTCACAGATAGCGTTCTCTGATCCGAACATTATTCCCCCCCTGTCCGCCCCACCTCCGGTTTCTCTCAGTGTGAAACAGGTTCCGCTTCCGAGCTGCCCCTCCTCCGGTAATAAATCTCAATCAAGTTGCGTTCGTGTGCGATGTTTTGTTTAGTATTCGAATTTCGAACGAATGACCGGCCTCACTCAATGCAAACTACTCCTAGGTTTGTTGTAATAGAAGCTAAAAAAAGTGAGAAAAAAACAATGCATTCAGTTTTATGGAAGAATTACTCAGATAACTCAAAAAGAACTCTAACATAAATAGCTCAAAATACTTCATAAAGCAAGATCACTTAGGAATCAATTTCAAAACAAATTACTTGAAGTTTCAGCTTTAAAATTCAACTTAAAAGAAAATCTAATATATACAACTCTAAGAAAACTCTAAGAAAACTCTAAGAAACTCTAAGAAAACTCTAAGATAACTCTAAGAAAAGAAATAATTGATAATGAAAGATTACTAAGGAATCAATTTCAAAACAAATTACTTGGAGTTTCAGCTTTAAAATTCAACTTAAAAGAAAATCTAATATATACAACTCTAAGAAAACTCTAAGAAAACTCTAAGAAAACTCTAAGATAACTCTAAGAAAAGAAATAATTGATAATGAAAGATCACTTAGGAATCAATTTTAAAACAAATTACTTGGAGTTTCAGCTTTAAAATTCAACTTAAAAGAAAATCTAATATATATAACTCTAAGATAACTCTAAGATAAGAAGCTTGAAATAATTGATGAAGAAATATTACTAAGGAATCAATTACAAAACTAATTATAGTCTCAGCTTTAAAATTAAAGGAAAAACCTATATACATACATAAGAAGTAAAATGAGTAGCTCAAATTACTTAACAAAAGCAACATCACTTAGGAATCAATTGCAATACAAATTAAGTGTAGTTTAAGCTTTAAACTTCATCTTAAAATAAAATTATATATAACTCTAAGATAGCTAAATATTAATTAAAAAGCGAGATCACTAAGGAATTGACTACAATACAAATTAGTTTTACTGTCAGCTTAAAACTTCATTGTAAAATAACTTCATATATATTTTTCAGTTAGAACCTTCCTTAATTTTAAAATAAATAAGATTTTGTCATGTGTAATCATTTAAATCAATACACTGAAAAAACCCTGAAAACTGCTTCTCACAATCTTAGTTAATCTTTTTAAAAATAAATTTATAACACAAAACAAAACAAGAAAGGAAGCTAATATATTTTATGTTAAATGTTCATAAATATATTTATGTTAAAAAACAATAAAGTAATGCCATTCTTTCATTTCATTCACCTATAATTTTATATTTAAAGTTTTACATTCACCGTATTGCATTTTCCTCTATATGTAACGATTGTTTGTATGGCAGCTATATAATATAGAAGTCTGATTTTCATCAAATTTTGCACAAAATTATAGAATAATATATATAGAGGATATATATTAAATTTGATGAAAATCTTTTGAAAACTGGAAAAGTTCTAACATTTTTTTCTTAAAATTATCCGATCGTTCCTATGGCAGCTATAAATATATATGTATATATATAGTCCACCGATTCCGCATGCTCCGATTTATATCCTAGTTAAATTATATAGACGAATAATTCCATAGTTTCATTCAAATAGCTTTATATTTGGTCCAAACAAATTTCGCACATCCGTGCATATGATTCCCAACTGGTTCTAACATCCCCGGAACGAAGTGACTTCTGCCAGCCCAGTCCCAGATATGTGTTGTGTTACAAAAGTTGCAAGTCATTGTTTATTGGTGTTCAAAGTTAGGAACTGATCATACATACTTACTGGTTATAGATACTTACTGACCATAGTTACTTTCTGGTCATATATACTTTCTGTTCTGAGTTAATTACTGCTCATAGTTACTTACTGCTCATAGTTACTTAATGTTCATTGAAACTTACTGATCATAGTTAATAAGTGATCATAGTTACTTACTGATCAGAGTCACTTACTGATCAGAGTTACTTAATGTTCATACTGATCACAATGATCATAGTAATTTATTGATCATAGTTACTTCCTGTTGAAAGATACTTATTGATCCTCTACATTTAACAACCGTTTCTCTTCTAGTTAAATAATCATTTTAATACCATGCAAGGGTATAAATATTTGTTTAAAGTCAATCTAAAGCTTATGAAAATAAAGAAACATATTCATTTATATAATAAAAATATATTTAAACTACTTAAGTTTTATTTTAGCTAAATTCCTGCCTGGGAATTTTGTCTTTGATAAATTATTATTTATTATGCAATAGAAATTGAACCAAAAACATTAATTAAAATGATCTCTGCATATTTCCATGTGTTTATATTAAGTTTCTTTATTTCTTGTTAAAAATATTATTATTATTATAAATAGATTATATTTATTTATAATAACAATAGCATTTATTTTACAACAAAATTCCTTAAAATTGCTTTACAAATTGTAAATTTTAAATTACAATCATGAACTATATAATAATACAAATGTCACGCAGGTGTCATTATTATTTCACACAATTTCATCACTCAATCAAATAATATTCGCACCTGTAAGATTATCGTGAACAATTTTGTTTGCACTGCAAAGTCAATTATATATTTATGGCTTTATAATTCCACATTAAAACTTTAATTTGGATGAAAAATAAACTGAAAACTTTCGTAAATATTATATAAATACATTTGTGGCACTCTTTTGTGATTTTTAAATTAAAAACAACAAGTAATTCCTTTAAATTGAAGCTCTTTCCAGTTTCTTTCCTAATTTTGGGGCACAGGGTGGTCTTAGTTTAATGGAATTTTGCCCATTGAAGCAACATCCCCGATGATCCCGCGTCGAACAACCCCATCCTGACCAGGCCACTGCCTGGAGAGATGATACGGAAACCAGGAGAAGCACCACAACGAGGAGGAATCTGCACAGGAGCTGCATCTTCATCGACTGGAGATTGGCAAGTGAATCTCTAGAGGCAAAACTCTGAATCACTTGACCGCAGATCTCCATTAAAACCGGCTTCCTCCAACTGACGAAGATTGCAGCAGGGCTTCCGTTTATTTTTGGCCAGAACAGAGGAGAAAGTCAGGTAAGAATCTCATATTAACAATGACTCATTGTCGCTGAAAATGAAGCTCAAAGAACTATAAACCAAATGCTTTTGAAAACGAGTTTCAGAGATCAAGTTATGCTTCATCAGGTGTTTCTCTTGTTTGTTTTGTAAACAATTTCAAAGTGGTAAAAGTTGAAGAAAATGTTATGTTTTAAGTATATAAGTATTATTTTATAGTTAAGCAAAAAAGTATCTAAAAGATAAAGCGAAACATCTTCAGCATTTTTCCACAGACATTTAGAATAATAATCTCTTTATATATTTACTTGGCTGACATTTAATAATGACAACTATCTTGATAATAAAAATAAATAGGAAAGGCTTTGCCCCAGGGCTAGCAGTTTTATTTAGTTTATATAAATATTTTGTTAATATATGTATTTAACTACCAAATTTACACTACTTCATTATCATGATCCTCCATCCAATCCATATTAATGGGAGGCGAAGAGGTGGTCATTTCTTCTTTAAGATCATTTTTAATAGAACTTGAAGGTTGCTCTGTCTCGATGATAGTGCTGGTGCTGGAGGACACTTCCTCGGGATCCTTGATCTTATCCTTTTCGGTGTGTGAGTTGGCTGGCAGAGTGAGCACAGTGACCAGCATATTGAAACGTTGGAACAACGATCTAGTCACATCCCGAGCTTTTTCCTCTAGTATTTTGGCCTCCTTCTCAATGTTGGCTATCCAGGGTTTGGCCTTCTCCAGTGTACATTGCAAACTATGCACAAATTTGTTTACCTCACTGGGACTTGGAGTGGTGGTCAGTGTCTCCAGGTCACCACCATCCAAAGCCTTGGCCTCACCACCGCAGACAATAGAGGCAGCTTGGAGTTGGCCAAAAAGACTTAGCCAGAGGCAGGCCACAAGGGCTAAAAACACCAAGGAATTAGTCATCTTTTGGATAATGCAAATTGAACAAGATATTGGATATAGGTTTTCGATTATCGTGTATACAAGTCCGTCGCCGTTGAGGCACCAAACGCAACTGAAACCCGTTTGCAGCCGCCGCCACTTGACCAAGTTCTTTGGGTATCGCTATCGATGTCTTTTTGGGCTTGGCGAGAAAGTCGTCGGGCAAGTAAAATGCATTTTTCGACTCTCTCAAAGAGCAAAGAGATCTCAGAGAATTTTATAGAGAAATTCTCCAGAATTTGGAATAGAGAAATGTACGCACTTGATACACTTGAAACACTTGAGGCAATTGCAATGGTGACTAATCCATCAGGCTGGATCATCACTCGTCATGTCTGCCTCAATTGGGTTATTAAATTATATATTTATCTTTATAAGAAACTAGAACTAGAAGCTTAAAGGGGTTTAGTTTTTTTTGGGATTAGTCATTGGAATAAAATTATAAAAGAAACACAATAAAACTGCTTTACTAACTTTACTATTCTGTTGAAAATATATTTATTTAGGAAGATATTTTTAATGGATATAATATTTGGAGGTATATTAAAGGTATGAGATAATATACAATATTAAAAGCCTTTTAGATATAATTAATATATTAGCTTATGGTTATATTTTAATTAGTTTAATTACTTATAAGTTTGTAATTCTGTAAAGGAGACTTTTTTAAACCTTTTAAATATTTGTATAAAATTACATTATAATATCATTTACATACATCCAGCTAATAAAATATGAGTTTTATTTAGTATACATTTATTTTATTATACATTTTATTATATTCAAAATTTGTACATAATAGATAAGAAACTAACATTTAGGTCTCTATTATGAATATTAAATAAATATAAGTAAAAATCGATGACTAATAGTTCGGTATTAGTCACCAAAAAATAAAACTAGTTACTAAGGTTATCAGAGCTACCTTTAATTTAAGGCTTTAACTTATTAATAATATACCTATAAAATAAAATTTTTTTAAATTGTTAAACATTTTGGAGAGTTTTATACGATACAAAATGATTTGTTATTAATTATTCCTAGTTTTCTAGCAATATTATTATTATTTCTATATTCCAATATAATGTAAATGCATTTTCAGAAACCTTTTATTTAAGCTTAGATATTTCAGGTTTTTGAGCTTATAATAATATATAATCATAATCAAAAGACTTTGTTTATAAATATTAAATTTCGTACTTAGTATGAAATAGAGCTATAGGTAACATGTTGTATAAGTAATAGAATGAATTACAAAAAATATTCTAATTAATTAAAAATACCTAAATTCATATTTAACAGGTTCCTAAAGTAATCAAAAGGTTGTTTAACTTTATACAAGGCCTAGTAAAAACAACAAAAAAAAAACAGGAAGGAAAACAAAAGCTATTCCATAAGATATATATGTATTTATATATTCCTCTCTCAGGTACAATTGTAGCTATAGAATAAATATGTTACATTTCCCCGTTGCACAACTCGAAGCTTTGTCATCTCACATTCCCAAAATTAATCACGCACAATTCAATTCACTTTCATTTTTTTATTTACACAAAAAAAGCACATGGAAGGAAATCAAGAGAACAAAAAAAAAATAATAGAAACTTAAATATTTACAGGACGAGGGGCTGGAATTTCAAGGACTACTTCCTCAACTTGCTGCAGTTGCCCAAGGCATCCAGGATATGTCCATGGCCGCATTGCTGTTCGCCCTTAAGGATGTCCGGATTAATGATCTCCACATTGGCCAGAAAGCCACGATCCTTGCTCATCTCCTCCGCCGAATCCTTGGCCAACTTATCACGGAAATCATCAAAGCGATCCTTGAGATCACTGCCCAGCACCTTGGCCTTCTCCCCGAGCTTCTGGGCTCCCTCCTTGAGCTCGGCACCCAAATCCTTGGCCTTCTCGCCCAACTTCTTGGCACCCTCCTTGATGTGACAGCCCACGTTCTTGAAGAAATCCCTCACTTCATGCTCGGAACTGGTGCTGCTGCCGGTGATCTCAGAGATCTTGTCACCCACATCGCTCAGTCCAGGTATTTTATCCTCGCAATCGAAGAGACCTGCCTGAACCTGGAGCAAAACTCCAGCTAGGAGAAGGAGGACGAACGATCCTTGCAGGTTATGCATCTTTTAGATTCTTAATTTCCAAGTTATTCTTCTTCTGCTGTGGTTCCTTTGGCTCCTGTTGAAAACCAGACTGAACGTTGACTTCTCGGTTGAGACTGACCTGCGCGCCCCGATTTTCAGGCATTTTATTCGCCTCGGTCGTCGCCTTTGTGTGTCACTTGTCACTTGCCTCGCATTTTCTCGACTTGTCGCCGTCGGTAATTCAATTTGCGAGCAACAACAATCATCAGCATATCGTGCCCAATTGTGCGCTGATTTATCTCATCTGGACAAAAGGGAGAGACCCCTATAAAGATAAAGATCATTTTGCACAAAGATCTGACAAGAGATATAGTATCTCTGGCTGTCCGAGACGAGCTGGTCACACTGGGATAGTCGGGTCAAGGCTGTCACTTAAGTGTATATATCCCTGATCCTTAAGAGCCTGAAGTCCTTCAACTATAATTCCTAAGTTTACCTAAAAAACGCAAGGGTGCCATAAAAACATATACCACTTTGGTCACACTTAGTCCTTGACGTCAGGGTTCTTTAAGTAGCCTGTCTTTGGGTTTTATTCCTCATCGTTTTTAACTTGATTTTGATTATAAAGTGACCTTATTTAAAAAAGCATTTTAAGGAGATTATTGTACATTGGTCACACTGATGTAGCAAAGGTCAAGGTTGCCCAAACTAATATTGATTCTTATTCAATTCTCTCCACTCGATTATTATTATCTCCCCAAGTTTGTTTTCTTCTGACATTTTGAAGCGTATTACGCACTTTTTTTCACCGAGCCGGAAGGTCTGACAAATATGGAATATAAATAGATTATAGAACACACATATACTATAGTATATAGTATTCATTCAATTGATATTTACACACAAACGCACTGATCTGGAATTGACCCACAATGGCACGAGCTACAAGCGATTGCATAACAATTGGCGAGGCTGAAAGTAATTCAACTTTTGCTACTAATAACTGAGAGATGAGGCATACAAATAATCAAGAACTAAGATAGTTCCTGCATAGCATATAAAGATCTATTTATTTCCTTTTAGAATTTGATTAACTTAGGCATTTAGAAATACAAAAGCATCAACTTTATTTCCGCAATTTCCCATTTTATTACAATTTAATTTAGGAAACAAACTTTTGGATTAATTCCAATCGGACGGATCATTGTAGCCAATGGATCTAGTTTCTTCCTCATTGTTAATATCGGTATCATCATCGTCAGTATCATCGGTATAATCTATTTCAGTATCGAAATCATCGTCACCAGTATCCTCTGCCAGTTCGATATCATCCTCTGGATTTGGTGTGGCTTCATAATCAGGCTCCTTTTGTTCGGGTTCGGGTTGGGGTTCGGGTAAAGGTTCGGGTTGCATTTCTGTTTCGGCTTCCTCTTCTTCTTCTTTGGGTTCTGTGGTTTCCGGTATCACAGGCATTTCCGTTGTTGAAGTTGTTGTTGAAGTCGTTGTTGAATCTGTTGTTGAAGTTGTTGTTGAAGTTGTTGTGGTTGAAGGAGCACCTGAAATTTGATTTAAATAACAATTTTTAAACTCTATAAAAATATTTCCTTAAGATTCTTACATTTTTCAAGAGTGGGATTAAATTCACAATCATCTAAAATTGGCTTGGGAGTGGTGGTAGTGGTTCTGGGTCTCAGTGTAGTTGTAGTAGTTTTTGTTGCTGGAACTGTTTTTTTGACTAAACCTTTGCCTGAAAAAAATAAGAAAATATTGATTTAGAAATCTAATTCTATAATGGGAAATTTTGTTTACGTCAAGAACATGATGCTGTAGCTTCATCTAATCTTATAAATGACTTGGATGAATCACTTGCTCAATTATTATACAATTTAAATATTCTATATGATATAATTGTGATAATAAAAAACCCACACTCATCGAGACTTGGATTAAAGTCACAGCGTATGCGCCAGTCCATCTCATCCTCGTCTATGGTGGTGACCACTTTCTTGGGTCGCTGGATGAGATATACATCCTTGACTTCTACAATTTCCACATCCGGATTTGTGGGTGACACACGTCTCCTTATGTACCTCCTGTGTGGCCTGTCTGGCAGAGAGCGAGCCTGTAGGACCTCCAGGCCGGTGAGAGCCAGCAAAAGGATCAGGATGAGGGATCTGCTCATGGTGTTGTCTGCAGCTCGACTATTCCCAGCTAATGGAACTACTCCGGCTCGACTGTCGCGGAAGCTTATCGTTTGTGATAACCTTCTGACCTTCATCTCCTCATCACATCTCGTTTCTTGTGGCAATATGTGAGAGCTCATCGCATGTGTGTTGCATACTTTCAGACTTAGACCCCCTTAATTTGCGGCTCACGCCTCGTGACGATGCATCAATGTCCGCATAAATTAGATTTTTGGCCAACAAATTAGCCGCAAACATAATTGCCATGAAGGAGGGGAAAGTCCCGGAGAGAGGCCTGTGGAAATGGCACAAAATATTGTATAGGAACTTGTCACACTGTCGAGGAGTCAATGGGGCATATCAGCATTAGCTTCGATTATATTTAAGATATATAACGAATATAATATTAAACATAAATTATATATAATATACACTCTTTTAAAAATAAGAAAATTTATATATATTCTTTTAACCCGATATGTAATTGATACTTTCCCAATTGTATCTCATTGCTTTCTAAACATTCTCGGCAACTGAATCACTTTGCAAGTGTCAGCAGGATCCCTCAGCTGATGAAAAATATGCTAAAAGTCATTTTCTTTTGCTTTATTTGCTTTTCTTTTTCTTTTTTTCTTGACTTTTTTCAGTTTGTTTGTCATTTTTCAATGGCAAAATGAACCGAGTGTGTGTGTCTATAAGAGAGTGTGTGCAAATTAGCCGAGCAACGGCGGCCACATATGTTTCAGTCATTTCCCAATAACATAACAGAAAACCGTGTATTTTCCTCGACTCGGCCAGATAGATAAACAACAATTTGTTTTCTTTCTTTCTGTCATTTTTTTTATTATTTTATTTTATGTGAAGAAGCACACTGAAATTTGGGACAGGCATTAAGACTTTGATCTGCGGTTAGTATGGACTTATCGTTAAGATTTATGATCGGGCTAAAGAACTGACTAAGAGTAGTAGTAGATTTTTGGGAAAGAGTCTGAGGGAATTTTTATTTAATATTAAAATTAAAAGTAATCTAAGTATATTTTAACATAGGAAAATTTCTCTCTAAATAATAATAATAACAAAAATAGTTTAAACTAGCTTATTTCAGAAACTAAAGTAACTTTAGGATTTAAAATAATTTCTATCCGAAAACAAATATTTTTTCTTGAATTACAAGTATAATTAATATTTTATATTAATATTATATACTGTGAAATCGATTTTAAAGTAATTATTATAGTTATTGGATCTTTAAATTGAGGGAAAATTAATTCTTTTAATAATAACAATTAAAACGATTGAATAAACTTGCATATTTCAGAATCAAAAGTAACTTTGATCTTTAACATATTTTCTACCCAATAAAAAATACTTTCACTTGAGATACAAGCTCAAGTTAATATAATTTTAGTAGAAAACTTATAAGAAATAGTTTATTTTTTAAGTAATTTTTATAATTTGCAATCTTTCAATTAATGAAAAATTCATCTTTATATAATACTAATAATGAAACAATTTTAAACTAGCTTATTCAAAAAACCAACGTATCTATGGGTTTTAAAATAATTTCCACTCGATAAAAACTAATTTTCCTTAAAATGCAAGTCCAAGTTCATATTGTTTTAAGACAAAATGTATAAGAAATAGATTTTTTAATGTAAATTTAATAGTTTTTGGATCTTAAAATAAAGAAAAAAGTAATCTTTACATATTAATAATAACAATGAAACAAGTGTTAACTACCTTATTCCAGAAACCAAGTTTACTTTTAGTTTTAAAATATTATTATTATTAATAATATTATTAAATAAAATAAAAATAAAATTTTATAGTAATTTCTATAGTTTTTGGATCTTTTAATTAACGAAAATGAATCTATAAATTATAATTATAATAATATAATAATAGCACAAACTAGATTATTCCAAAGTAATGTTTAAGCTTAAAATAATTTCTACCTTATAAAAAATAGTTTTCCTTAAAATACAAGCTTAAGTTAGAATATTTTGAATACAAAATGTATAAAAAATAGTTTTTGAAGTAATTTTTATAATCATTAAATAATAAATACAACTAGAAACTATCTTGTTTCAGAAACCAACTTTACTTTTAGTTTGAAAGTATTTACCATCCCATAAAAAATACTTTACCTTGACATACAAGTTTAATTTAATATTTTTGTTGTACAAAATGTAAAAGAAATATATATTTTTAAGTTATTTATATATATTTTTCTGATATATAAGGGTATCTAACTACCGATATCCCCTCTAACTTAGTAACCTCACTCGCCGTGTGAGAGCGTGAAATATGCGGAATGCCAGTGGTGGGGCTTCCGAAGGGGGCCGGGCTAAAAAGGGGGCTGTTAGCCTCCTCTCGATATTTGGTGGAGGCGCAGGCGGTCTCCGTGGAGGAGGTGCCTCATTTTTGGGGGCCCAAAGGCAAGATGCTGCCGCTGCGAACAGTTGGCTGCGAGGCACGTTGGCGGGCGGAACACCAGAGATCCAAGCAAAAGATCTCTCAGATCGCGCAGCTGATCGGGGGAATCACCGAAACGAAAGAGACGGAAGGCGCGCGACGCCAGTTGGAGCGGGACCGCAGCTGTTTGTTTGTTTGTTTGCCGCCTGCCCCATAAAGATAGTTTTTTATTCGCTCCCTCCGCCCCTTGTTTTTTTCGGTGTCTTTTCTTTTTGGTGCCACATAAAAAAAAAGTGGCACAGTGTGTCGGTGTTGCAACGTCTTTTTCCGCTCCCCGCGCCCCAAATGTCACCAGTGTGATCTGTGGGGAAAACTCTCGGAGTCGAAGGAAAATTGGTTAATTGGGAAATCCAAACGGGAACGGACAGTTTCTGGGAGCGGATCGCCTAAAAATAGCAAAAGAAAAAGCATAAAAGAGAATAAAGAGAATGTTGAAAAAAAGAAGCCAAAAATAATTGAAAGCGTGGGCAGGAAAACCCACAGTGAGCACGGGCTATAATGGAGTGAAAATATTAAATTAATAATAAATACAAAAAAGTGAAAATGTAAACTTAAAAAAAATATATAGAAAATATATATTTCTTTCTATAGAGAAAGAGTAATTAAAAATACTTAAAAAACTGGCATTACTTTGTAAATAATTAAACCAAAAGAAAGCTGATTTAAATGAGCTGAAAAACACCCATAAAACACTATATATTTCCTTAACTTAAATAAACATTATAACGACTGATTGAAGACTGTTCAAATACCACTTATCGAGTGCCACCTGTACACACATAGTTGAGATAAACAATAAATTGGCCAAAGGCCAAAAGCAGCCAAAAGATCACAGCCGCCGGAGAAGGGTAAAGAGCCAGAACCAGCAACAGAAACGTACAACCAACAGGTGGAAGGAGTACCAGAAAATCAAAATTCAAAAATATATATATATAAATATATATTAGAGAAAAAAACATCCTTGGCCCATGTTCCGCCATGTCCCAGCTAGCTGAAGGCGAAGACGAGGAGACTCAGGCTCTCAAGGAGGACGATGAGGAGGAAGATCCTCTGGCCAATTTGCTGAGTCTGAAGCTAAAGAAGCCACCTCACTGGAACTGGGAGCTGAGCACCTCCCGGAGCTGTAGCAACATAGCCCTGCCCCGGATCCTGCTCTACGATCATACGGGTAACCTTTTGGTGGATGCCCAAGGTCTGCGAGAGGAAACCTACAGATCGGGGGATTCACCGCGACGTCGCAAACGTTCGGCCACCTCGAATTTGGAGAGGAATTTCCATGGACTGCATATAGCCGAAGCCACGCCCACGCCCACCCCACGATAACGCCCACGCCCAGTTCGAGTCGGGAAAGCGAGAGACGGCGGAAAACTCATGGCAGTTGCATTGACTTTAGCACTCACGAGTTGCCCAATTGGGAGCCATCTTCCAGTTCACGGAGGTCCAGTTCACTGCGTGGTGTTCGCTTCCAGGAGGAGGTAGTGGAGGATCTACCCACACCCACTCCTACACCCACACCCACCTATCCCACACCGCCTTCGACCTCTACGCTAAACTCATCCAGTTCGGGTCCCCGGGAAAAGAGACGCTACCGTCGCTCTCATAGCTCGATCCTGGAAAGATTTAGCCTCTCCAAGGGTCGCCACTCCTCGCCAGAGTTTGCCCAGGAGGAGGAGGTGACCAAGGCGCCGCGTTATTACCTACGGACCAGCAAGGCCGGGACACTGGTCATCCGTGAGGAGAGCTTTAGCTCACAGCGATTGAGGAATCGACGCCGCCGGCCACCCAAGCACTCTTCCAGTGAGAATATCCTGCAGGAGCATCAGGTACAGGAACAGGATCAGCCACAAATGGGTAGCAGAGTCGTGCAGGCCACGACACCACGTAGGAGAGTGCCAGAGAGGACAGTGTCCACCTCGGAGGAGGAGGAGCAAAGGGATCTGGAACGGGAGCCGCGAAGATCACGTGGCAGGCCAAGGAATCAGGGACAAAACAGTTGTGGCAAGGATGCAGCTCAGGGTGAGTGGGAAAAGGTTTTTTATATGGGTTAGGGATATGATAAGTTAAAGGTTAAGGGAAATAAGTTAGCTAAGGCTAAGATAAGGTAAAGGTTAAGGGAATTTAAAAAGGGAAATTCCTTTAGAAAAGTAGAATTAAAAGTACTTAAATCCTTCGCAAAATTCTTGGTAAAATTTAAAATAGTAAGGAATCGTTAACAAATATTTAAAAAGCCTCAATAAAGCTCTCGGAATAAAGGTTAAGGGAAATAAAGTAGCTAAGGCTTACATACGATAAAGGTTAAGGGAATTAAGGTAGCTTAAGCTAAGACAAGGTAAAGGTTAAGGGAAATAAGGTAGCTAAGGCAAAGTTAAGGTAAGGGTTAAGGGAAATAAGGTGGCTAAAGCTAAGACAAGGTAAAGGTTAAGGGAAATAAGGTAGCTAAGACTAAGTTAAGGTAAAGGTGAAGGGAAATTATAAAGGGAAATTCTTTTAAAAAAGTTGAATTTAAAGTACTTAAATTCTTCACTAACTTCTTGGTAAAATATAAAATAGTAAATAAAGTTTAACTAAGATCAAAAAAGCCTGAATCAAGCTCTTGGAATTCATAATTATGCTCTTACTAGTTAAAAATATAATAAAAGATCATTATAAATATTTAAAAATCAATAAAAATTACAAATAAAGCTATCCAAATTCAAGTTTTAAGATTTTTTCTCTTTCTGTTTCCAGAGCTCATCACCGTGGATCCTGATAATTGTGTTTATCGAGCAGCGCCGGGCGCCACAGCTCGTTAAAAGAGAGAAAAAGAGACCTCCCCCAGAAGACCAGAAGAAAGCCACAGAAGAATTGATCCTGAAGAATACCAAAAATTCAGGAAAAAAACGAAACCAGTACGAGAACAGACAGAAAATACAGTTCCTCCTTGTGATGTAAGACGATAGAACATGTGAAAAATAAAAACAAAATCTTGAAAACCAGACAAGTGCCTCTTAATCTGATACAAATTTGCAATTAATTAAGATAAAAATTATGCATTTTGGCGTTAAATCAAATGGTTTTCTCATTGTGCCAAGAAAAAACCCATTTAGAAATGCAATTTTTACATTGTCTGAGGCATTTGTTTGACAGTTTTCCAATTAAAAATTTCCTAGGCACTTGTGGAAATCTCATTTGCCAAAAAGGTCTGTCAACCTTTTCAATCAAGAGTGAGTGTATTTTTAGTCAAGGAAAATGCTTTAAAGGGCTGAGTATTTTTGGTTTTGTTTTTATAATATTTTATTAGTGATTCAGGGAGAGAGAAGGCAGAAGAAACTACTTGATATTTGCTAAGGGTTTGGTGGAAATTTGAGATTGGAAATCTTTGTGTTTGTCTTAGAATCGGCTTTGAAATAAAAGTGATTTACATAATTTTAATATATTTAAATTAATTAATATAACGATTGCTAGATTCCCTGCTAGAAATACTTAATTTTTTCGTAATGAAAGAGTATCTAAAGTATCAGCCCAAGAGTCTTCTAGATATTAAACCTCTGGCACTGCCTGAAAGTCTGCCATATTTTCCTATCGAGTAACTTGAATAAATCCAATCCAAATAGACCCTCAGAGATTTGGGAGTGAAGTGTGTCCATTGGCGAGATTCAGCCACTCGTTGTGGCTAAACAAACAACCTAATCAGGGCTGATAAGATGGATCGGTGAGGCCAGTGCGAATTTCTCAACGCAAAAGAGAGCTCAGTGCGATTGGAACCCTTGGCTCGAGATGCGATCGCTTTTGTCGCTTCTATCGCTGCTAGTGCTGCTCCTGATCCTTCAGGATTCTCCCTGCAGCGGAACCGGAAAAGTGATTTATTTTAACCACCTGAATGCCACACAATCAAAAAAGACGGCCAAAAATGAGACGGATTTGCTGGGCAAATCCATGTTATTTGACACGCGAGGCAATCGCTGTCGACATGGTTTCATTCGTGATCATCATGGACGTTGCCGAAGGGTGAGTAAAAATTACAGTCAACAATTTTTATTTACACTTACAAAATCTTTTTTTTTTAATATCTTCCATGCAGATTGTCTAAAAATGGAATATTCCGATTAGCTTAGTTTATTTTTAGTTTTTTTGTTGTGTTTATGTTAAGTCTGTGATTAAAGAGAAATGAAAACAAATTTTGTAAATCTTATAGATAAGAACCAAAAAGATTGCCCCTGTATCTACAAGATACTTTCCTATTTCAAACTCTAAACTCAAATTGACATCATTGAGAGTTGAGGTTTGAGTAAAATGCGCAGTAAACCGATGGACTTTGAACTTATGTCTACTGACTCTTAGTATTTTCCCTGGAAACCCTAGAAAACCCCAGATGCAAGGGAATGTTAACCCTTTGCACCTCTTCATGAAATTGAAACTACGTCACATCACGTGTATTATGATGAAATTCTGCGAATTCTGGTGTACCACCCACCCATAGATACCGCAGACGCCAGAGATACATAGATACAAAGTACAAGATACAAGATATAGGTTGCCGGGAGATAACAGGAACCTCAACCCTCTGACTCAGCCACGTATTTATAGAGAGAGAAGCGACCAGATATTCGGCGACCCTTATTCGGTCACATTTTCGGGAAACTTCACCGCAACGAGTGTCATTATTTTGCGATAAGACAAACAACAAATCGTTAAATAAATCTGTGACGTCTTAATGTTAAATGCTCAATGAAAGGGGAGTCGCGTGGTCATCATCACACTCCCTACCCCCAATGACGAAGCATAAAAGTTGGCTCTTTTACACGGAAATTCGTATGGCTCATTCGACGAAAAAAGTCACCGAGGATCTAATTGTCAAAGTTCATGGCACAGCGGCAAGTCAGTTATCTGCAGTGATTGTGGCTAAATCACCGAAAAAATATACAGAACACGAGCCAAATTAACCCACGTTCTTACTCAGCTCTAAAAATACAGGGTTATCTCTGGGCATGGCGTTTGCGATTTCCCCAAAAAGAGTTTTGTTAGTTAATCTATTTGGCAACTACTTTAAAAAAAGGGAATTTTAAATATTTAATAGTGCTTCTTATTTTTTAATATTTTTATTTGCTACAAATAGAGACAGAAAAAGGGTATTCTTACTCAACTCTTAAAATACAGGGTTATTTCTGGGCATGGGGTTTGCGGTTTAGCAAAAAAAAAAAGAGTTTTGTTAGTTAATCTAATTGCTGAATACTTAAAAAAGAGAAAATTTTAAAATTTAATAGTGATGCTTATAAATAAAATGGGAAAGGGGTTTTTTTTAAATATTTTTAATAATAAAATAAGGCACAGAAAAAGTGCATTCTTCTGAGCTCTAAAAAATACAGGGTTATTTCGGTGCATGGGGTTTGCGATTTCCTCAAAAAGAGGGAATTTTAAATATTTAATATTTCTGCTTATAAATAAAATAGGAAAAGCTTTTTAAAAATATTTTTGAAGCCAAAAAATATGACATAGAAAAAGTGTTTTAGAAGAACCTAAAAATAAATCATTTCTTGGTTGTTAGAATATCTTACATTCTACATATTTTTATATTACAAATTAATTAACAATTTAGTAGAACGCTTACTAAAAATCCCTTTCTATATATTAGTTCTGTTATTAATTGTTTATATTTCTTCTCTTTATTATTTAATATTATCTATAATAAATTGTAATTCTTCCCCCTCAAAATTAAACCTTATTTTTCTTAATATCTAAATACTATTTTTTCTTACAGCTTAAAGCAGCTCATTTTACTTTTACTTAAAAAAAATTACTATATATTTTTCTTAAGCTCTATTATCTTAAATTACCTCAACCGCTTATAGTTGTTAGTTCCATAAGTGATTTAAGAGTTCCGCCAAAAGGTAGTAAAAGCTTCCGAGAAGAGCTGGGAAAAATCCCCTTCTCCTCGGAAAATCCCACCCCCCAAAAGAGGGTTAAGCCCATCGAATTGCGCCATTTCCTATGCAAATGCAGTAAGGTCAGCCCCTGATGATGATGATGATGATAATGATGATAGTATTGTATCGGGTATTATCGGGACCCGTGCTCAAATAGATATCCAAAACGAGCGTTGTCGCTCGGCAACGAAATCAGTGCTGGGCAAAGTAGGAGCACTCAATTACACAGATTGCAAATGGCATGGAGGCAAAAGATAAGATTTCCCCCCGAAGAAACCGAGAGGCCGAGAAGCAGTCCCCAACCGAAAAAACAGGGTGACAAATACTGACGTATTGGAGTGGAGTGGAAGAAGAAAAATTTTTGATCCTCACATATTCCCTAAAATTAGAATATTTCTTAAACTCATTTGTTCACTTCTTTGTTCAGTCTTTTGTTCACTGCATTATGCACTTCTTTGTTCAGCACTTGATCACTTCTTTGTACACTCATCTATTCTCTTATTTGTTTATTTATATGTTATTATATTTTATTTATTCACCCATTTGCTTAATCTTTTCTTAACTAATTCCTTTACGTACTTGTTCACTTAATTGTTCACTCAATTGTATACAAATTGACTCAATAGCTTGACTATTTCTTCACTAATTTGTTTACTCTGTTAATTATTAATTTATAGCCCATGTTTTCACTTATTTATTCATCCTTACTATTCATTCCCTATATCCTTTACTTACTTTCTTGTTAACCCACTTATTGTTCACTCATTTATCACCCATTTGTTCACTAATTGTTCACTCATTTGCTTATTCATTTATCACTTATTTGTTCACTCATATCTTTACCCATTTTTTCACTTATATGTTCACTCTGTTATTCATTAATTTGTAACTCATTTTTTTACTAACTTATTCAATCTTTTGTATACTCCCGTGTTCACCCATTTATTGAATAATTTCTTTACCCATTTTTTCACTTATGTGTTTACTCTTTTGTTCACTCCGTTTATCATTAATTTGTAAGCAATTCTTTCACTCTTTTATTCACTCCTTTATTCACTCTTTTATTCACTCTATTCTATTCACTCACTATTTTCTCTATTCAATCCTTTCTTAACCCATTTATTTATTTTTCACTTATTTCTTAACTCCGTTTTCTATTTAATTTAATTTAATTGAATTTAATTTTTTGTTACGCATTTTTTAATTGATTTGATCATCCCATTCTGCACCAACTTGTTCACTGATTTCAACACCCTTTTGTTCACTAATTTGTTCAGCTATTTGTTAATTCATTTGCTCATTAATTTAATTACTTTTTTAATGACATTTACATCATTTGGACATTTTCCTCATTTGTTCACTCATTGTCCTACTTCATTATTCAGCAACTCGCTCAATTGTTCACTCATTTCGTGAAAATGTTCACTTGTTCACTTGTTCACTCATTTGGTTCACTATTTCAATTACTGATATACCCAACTAGAGTGAGTTTTGGTAATTGGAACACCCTGTGACGGTTTTATCAATTCAATGAAAAGACAAGCGGGCAGAGCACTTAAGAAGTGCTACCCCAAACTCGTATAAAATCAGTTAACTGCCGGCATTGGAGCAAGCCACTCACTGGTTAGCTATACATATTATATACACTATATAATTTTTTTTGTGATAAATCCGGAGCCTTTCTGGTCGTGAAATCTAAGAGAAACCGAAATAAAAATACAAATAAAAACCGGAGAGATGTCGATGCACCAACTGTTGCTCTATTCGCTTTGCCTGTGGGCTGTCATTGTGTTTTGTGCTCCGGCACCGACCGAATCGCGTCGCGTGATCTTCCTGAAACCGAATGGGATCCATCGTGGACAGATTTTGGCCACACACGGGATGGAGAAGCCCTGCCCCAAGTGTCATATGCATGATCATCGGGGTAATTGTCGTCGCATCATTGCCTACAATGCAGGTGGGTGATATATATGACCATATCACGTATACGCATTACGTATACGCCTCGTTAACAGTGCGTCACCTTAGATTACAAAAAAAACTTAAAGAAAATGTGCCGCGTCCCGCTAAAATCGTTCTCTATCTCTATCTTGCAGATGGTGTGCACTGCTGAATGTGAATCGAAGTGAATTTCCATCACCATCGAACGAATCTCCAACTCTCTCAACACAAACAAAAACCCTATTTATTTATGCTATTTATCTGCCTCGCATGCCATAAAATGCCTAACAATAAAATACAAACAAAAAGCAAATGGAATGCAATTTTAAACTGATAATTCTAGTTGCAACACTCTCTCTCTCTCACTCTGCTGGCATTCCAACGAAGGTCGCATTGCGGCACAGAAACTTGGCCAATTATCCGCAGTCTTAGCCAAAAAGTATCTTATCAATTAAATAATGCATTACGCCCGCATAAGGGGGGATTTCTATAATGGCTCATATGTGAGATATCAGCTACTCGAGTGGATTCGGAAATATTTTTTATTTAACAATTATAATGCCGACTTGACGCAAAACGCCTTATTACTATCTGTACGTTAATCGGTCTTAGCAGGTGGTTATTCTTGTTAATTGTTTACTTATTAAGACACCTGGAAGTCATTTTTTTGTATCTTAATTTTAATTTTAATTGGGGGTTTTTAAAGGGGTGTATTTATTGGTTTTAAATTGATAATTAATTGCTACTTAATAGCTTGAAAGTAAAATTGAATTATGTATATTCTACATTTACATTTATTATGTGCCTAGTTTAAATTAAAGGAAATATAATAAAATTTACTGAAAAAAACAATTAAAGCATTTTTATTGATTTAAATTTGTATAATATATATAAAACAATAAAATATAATTCTATGCCTAGTTTAAGTTTTAGGAAATATATAAATTTTTTATTGATTTAATTTTGTAAAATATATAATATAGAAAATAATAAATAACATAACACATAATTATGATATTCAAATACAATAGAATATAAAATAAGCAATAATTTGCTTTATAACTTAGATAATAATCTATATTGGTAAATTGTTTTATATATGTTTAAATAAAATATAAAGATATACAATAAAATAATTGACACTAGATGTCTTTTCTCTTAATGTCAGTCTTTAGATCAGAGCCCCGATTTGGCCCTAAATTAATATATTATTTGCATATATATTTGTAAATATTTTTCTATATTTTTATATATACATATATGTATTATTTTATATTGTTTCTTCATTACCCAAATTAGTAAAATCTTAAATTTTTAAATATTTTCTCCTAATTATTCATAACCCAATTGCTTACTAAAAATAAACCCCCATCAATCCTCATCGTAATCCCCTCAATGTTCGGTGTATATAAACCCAATGTTGCATGCGTCAGAGTTTGTATCGATAAATGTCAGACGTCAATCTATCGATCATTCGAATGTGCCGTTACGCTCGATCCGAATCCAAGGGCCGCTCGCGAATGGTATTACCGAATTATATATTTATTGGCGGTTATAGCCAGGTCCACTGGTCAGACGTCCGGCAAACTTTGCACCACTACGTCAGCTTTTGGAAGGGGGAGGGGCCTCTCACCGAAAAATAGCACGTTAATTGTAATCGGAGAGCCTGGCAGGTGATTCGGCTCCAAATCAAATTCATCAAGCGCCTTATCGACATGTCAACGGAGTCTGAGCTAATTACTGAATGAAATTCCGATTTCACAACTGCCAAAATGTGCTCAGGGATGGGCAGAAATTGCTGGATTAGGAGCCATCGATGTTGCCAGAAGGGAAAATAAAAATTGTTGGGTTGTTTAGATCATAAAATATATTAAAGAAATATAAATATATATATTATATATTATATATTATTTTATTAACTATTGAATAATATTATTCTTGAACCTATTTACATTTTTATTATTCATTAAATGTATTTTTTATTTGTAGTATTATAAAAACTATAATTAAAATCATGGAGATTATTAAATGTTCTCTAACCTTCATTTTAAGCAAGCTTTATATTTTTATTTTTTGATTTTAAATGAATAATTAATTTATTATTAAATTATATTATTAAAAATATTCCTACTTTATTAATAATACGATTTTTTATTTATTTAGTAACAATATATTATTATATATTTTTATATATTATTATATGTTATTATATGTTAATATATAATATTATATTTTATTATATATATTTATTATGATTTTTTATTATTTATATTTATTGAAATAACGAATACAATTCCTTTTTTCAATGAAGTCAGCCAGTGATCTTAAAGCCTTCAAGCTTTAATTATAGAAATTTTATTTACTATTTAGATCGAATAAAATAAAAGTCATATATTGACTTCATTAAAATGTAACTTATAAATTTAGCTTACAATTTTTGTATGACAATTTAAATTCTCCAAGAAATTGTTATGCTTTACAAGAACATTTATTACTAACTTTGTTTACGGGAATTCGCTGATAATAAAGTTTCCCTTTAATTGCTTGGTAACAAATATCAATTTAATCTTAATGAGCCATTGATATTTTTAGCTACTTGACGCAGCCTTTAAGTGCCTTGCCTAGGTCAGTTAAATTTTTAACATTAAATTATATTAAAATATATTTGTTTTAAGTAAAAATTAATGTTTTAGATGGGATATAAATTAGTTCAAGTCTTCGTTGTTTAACTGATTCAAATTGTTAAGGAAAAAATTCCAGAAAAATCCTGGACTAATCTAAAGTTTGTTTTTGGCTTGGCAACAAGTGTTTACTATTTTTATATATTTTTGTCTGGCTTTATTCAGTATTTTTATAATATATCAATCTTCAAAAGAAGTAATTTCTCTCATATTCCAGAGAAATTACTCTTTATAGCTACCTTGCCTGGTGAAATAAGTTTTAAATAATGTATCCTGATCTAAGCTAGCTTTTGACCCATTAGCACCTTTAAAAAAGTTAACAAAAATTCTGAAAAAATGCTGTCTAATAAGCCTTTGGTATTTTTAATATCTTCACGTAAAATTCCTTAATGATTTATGCTACCAAAAATCTACTTGACAATTATACCCACATAATATGGCATATTTTCAGGCTGCGATTTGGGAACCTGAACCTTGTCAAGAGGCCATAGATCATAACCAAGTCCCCCGTTCCAACCAACCAACCGACCGACCGGAAGCGGCGTCACTGATATATAGAGCGCTGGTCAGTGATCCATCCATGGTGACGCAGTGCCTCCTTGGAGTTCGCCAGAAACGTGGGGAATCATGACAGTGGAATTTTACTACTCAAATGGTTACGAGAGAGCCCACAACAAATTCCCCCGCGCTTTCGTCATACGGCACGGCGTGGTAGTAAGGCACCAAAATAGCAACCAGTAAGAAAATCGGGGCTATCCAGGGGCAACCCGTAGACAATACTATAGCCTATAGCTATAGAGACATACACAATACCTATATATGATATGGCCGAGGGCTATGGCTATAGAGAGTGAGCTATCTTATCGCATGCCAGCGGAATGCCTTTTTTTTCGCTGGGGGACTTATCTTATCAATAAGCGCGGCCGGCGGGCGGTCGCCGTCTTTACCTATCGACGTTGAATATCGGCGGGCGCAATATCGGTGAGCGGGCTCAGTAATAAAAGCGACTCCCCAGCGAATTGACCTATAAAAATATAACAAAAACCAGAACACAGAAAAGTCACGGATATATAAGACGAAAATCAAAGGAAATTCCAGCTTAAATTCAACAAGGATACACAAAATGCAACTGCAACGCCTGCTCATGCTCACCTTTGTGATCATTGCTTTGATCTTGTGTCAAAGTTCTAGGACCACGGAAGCCCGTCGATTGGTGTTTTATAGCCCCAAAAGTCGCACTTTAACCAGTCAACTCCTTGTTTCCCGGAAGCTGGCCAAACCTTGTCCTGCGGGAAAGATGCGAGATCATCGGGATCGTTGTCGCCGGGCCTTGATCTTCGGACGCAGCAATTGAAGCAGTGAAATCTCCACGAATTCTATTAATTTTTTTTTTTTTACATATAAACTTAATTGTAAGCTAATTTATTTTAGTCTAAGTTGCGTCACAATGTAACGCTCGAAGTATTTATTACATTATTTATTTATAGTTTGCTAATAGTGATAAGTGATAATAAAACAAAACCAATGTCGATAAAGATAAAAATTGCATGTAATATTTTGCTTGGAAAATGTGCTGAGGTATCTTAAAGGTATCTTAAAATTATTTTTAGAAGTGTAAATGAACATTAAATTATATATTCTGGATCAATCAGAGGGAGTTGCACCAGAAAAATAATAATTAGAGTCAGATAGTTGTGAATATTATAAGAGAGAGTAGTAGGAAAAGACAGTTGACAACAAGTTAAGTTGGAATATCAAGAACATTCCTTAGAGGGATGTATATTGTAATAATATATACTAATATATACTAATATATATACTAATATATATACTATATATAGTGAAATATGTTATGGATACAGATAGATATATAGATATAGCAAAAACATGAAGAGTTGAATTTCTTTCACAGTTTAACTTCTTATAACCTTTGACTTTGACTTAAATCTTTATACCAACTTGCTGGAATGCAATTCAAAAGCCTTCTACTTAAGTAAACAACCTCACAACTATATTTTATTTTCTTATTCATTTTTCTGGCACACCTAAACCTTTAATAACAATAATTTATTCCCCATAAAAACCATTGTATGTTAATAACAATGAAAAATCAATAACCACCAAGTGAGAGTGATGATCTCAGGGCTCCCCAAGACCTCATTAATTTAAAACTTTTCGGTGACATGAGCAAATGGTTTTAATCTAAGCAAAAATCAAGATTGGAAACATGTTTGGCTAAATTACTTGCCGGAAATCAGTGACGTCAGTGGACATTATGACGCCTTAAGCGGGGTAACATTGAAGAGGGAAAACCTCCACTTCGGAGGGGAAAACCCTACCAAATCAACCCTTTCTCAGTCTTTGTTTATTATGTATTTAATTTTTCTTTTATCGGATCTTATGTCTAGCTGTCGAAAATTCAAACTAATGCTCCTTGACTTTAGTGTTTATTTGTTTTAGTTGCCTCAGAGGTCAGTTTCAAATTGTTTCATGTACTTTGAGCATCAATTTTCAAATTATTTTTCGATAATATCCCAAACTGAATTATTTTGTACCGCTTGAATTTTAAAGTAAACCATAAGCATGTCGAATCCTCGTGGCAAAAAGAATCTCGTGTTGAAGGGCAAATTCCTGTTCTCCAAGCAGCAATCATTGATACCACGTTTGGCTTACATGATGCATTTGGTAACCGAAATGGGAAGACTTTTGAAGCAAGTCCGTGACGATGTTCGTGGCATGCAACGACGGATTATGCCCAAAGCACCCGAAGAGGCCGAGAAATTCGAGGAACCAAAGGGATCCAAGGATCGCCATAGATCCTCCGATGAATAAAGCATAAAAGATTCACGACGGGAAGGAGGGAAATCCTCGAGTCACACGAAGATGATGTGCTTTTGAAACTAAAGACGGTGATAAGGATGAAATCAAAATTGGAGTTTAAATAAAAATTTCAAATTTCAAATTTTAATTTTAATTGATTTATTTTTCACAAAAAAAGTGTCATATAATATAATGTTATTTTACAGGCTATTCGCTCGGATAGTTTCCTCAATCCAATCCATGTAGCTGCTCACTCGGGTGTAAACCCCTGAATACTCGGACTTGCCACACTGATCCAATCCAAATGAGACAACACCGGCCAGGTAAACATATCGATCACCCCTCGGTGTACTTGCCTCCACTGTAAGTGGTCCACCGGAATCACCGCCACAGGAATCCACACCCAAAGTGCCACCGGCACACACTTGCCTCTCATCCACGGCCGCATTCTTGGCCCGAAAGGCTTCTTGGCATGGTTCCAGCGCTTGAATGGTCACCATGGCCTTGCGCTTGACCTTGCTACTTTCACTGACCTCGGTTCTGCCCCAACCGGAGACATCGGCAGCGAATCCCACCAGCTGATTGGCCTGTGCTCCACGCTCTGGGGGCAGGCACACCGGTTCCACATGTTGCATTTCCGGTTGATGCCACAACACGGGACGGGATAGCCGGAGTAATGCTATATCATTCGTTAGGTTTGATCTTTGGTAATTTGCATGTGGCAGAATCCGATCGATGGTCACACGGACATGCTTTGGGGCACAAAATCGTGTGCCATCCAATTTGGTTTCACAATCGGGATCCTCATCACGATTCCATTCACCCAAACGAGCTGCCACAAGGGTTCTTCCCGATCCCAATATCTGAGCATCGAGACAGTGCGCCGCCGTGAGAAGCCAACGTTGGGCAATGAAGGCAGCACCGCAGGGAAAATCCAACCCACCTCCCCTCACCGAGTACTCAAGGAGTGTGGTCCAGGGAAATTCATAGAGTCCTGTCTCCTTACCGCCATAAACACGCGATGAGAAGGAGGTGCCACAATGCGGATGCTGCGGCAGGGAATCCATACCAGCAGGGGCAGGCACTAGCCTGAGAGATGTCCTTAGAGGTAAAGGTGTGGCAGCTGTGCCATTGTTTATCCTGGCACCAAAGGAGGGGATATAGTTGGTCTCACGGGGACAGCAGACCTAAAAAGAGATGGAATTTGGATTAGAAATTAATTAGAAAATATGAAAGAAATTCTTTTAAATTAAAGGAAACTGTTGTAAGTATTGATAAGGGAGTGAAATGTATAATATATGGAAAGAAAAATAAAGGGTAAGAAACTACAAATGCAGAGTTAGATTTTCTTAATTTTCCTGATAACAAATATTTTATCAAAGACTTACATAGCCTCCGAGAGTTCTTCTTTACATTTATAATAATGAAATCATACTAAATCTTAAAATAATATAAAGAACAAGCCTACACTTTTAGATTAAAAATCTCAAAGTTTAATGACTCTAAGTGCAAGTTAACCCAAAGACTAAAACCCACCAAAGACTTTTTAAAATAAATAATTAAACAATTACTAGAGAATGCCTAAAAATTTATCCAGGCAAAGTGATTTAGAATTGGTTTTAAGAAATTATGGGGAGTTAAATGTATAATATATAGAAGGGAAAATTATGGTATATTTAAGTTAAAGGATAAATATCAGCCATAACAGATGTGGCTATCGTTTGATAAAGGAATACAAATTACAAATGCAGAGAAAGAATAAAGATTAAAGTTAATTTTCTTGATAACAAATAGGTTATCCAAAACTTACATAGTCTTGTGCTTTACATTTTTAACATTTATCGTTTTAAATCTTTTAGAAATTATTACAAACCTAAATACACTTGTAAATTGAATATTTCAAGAGTTCAAGCTTGTAAATTCAAGTTAAACCAAAGACTAAAACCCACCAAAGACTTTTAAAAAATAAAAATAACTAAACAATTACTAAAGAATGCTCATAAATAAACCCATTCAAGTGAAGAAGATCTCTCTTGGGAGGTAAAACGTGTTTGGGGAAATATATATATATATGTATATTATATATACCATATTGTTCCATAATTCTTACCAGATCGGGTCGCTGGCGGGAGAAACATTGCCTTTTACTCTCAAAGTCTGTGAGTTTGTCCACGGCATAAAATCACAGTCTGTTTTCTCAATGCAAGTGCCACGACCATATTCCGCCGAATTGCAATTGCCAAAATGCATCATGGCCTCTGAAAAGGGTTAAATATATAACAATTCTAAAGTTTATAAACTTTTTCTTGATTTATAATGCACTTACTGCCCACACGTTGAGCCTGAGCCAGGCCCAGAAAAGCCACAAAGAGTATGTAAAGCATTTTAGAGATGTGTTTGGTTTTTTATATATTTTCCTGAGATTTTCCCAATCCAGCTCTGTTTTCCGCTCTGATTGATTCTCTAGATTCACTTGGCGATGCAGTCTCCCCGATGGCTAACAATCAACTGATCAATTGGCTATCGGCGGCCTCGCTCTGCGACCTCAGAGATCGCTCCGAGATCTCAGGCTTTTCCAGCTGGCGCACATTATAAACGTATAAAGTATAGTATATAAAGCTTATATTCTCATTGATTGCCGCTGCTGGGAAAACCCGTTTCGCGCCCCAGTCCCTCCTTCTTCTCAATAAAAAAAAAAAAATAATAAATATATAATAATTATTCGCCAACGTGTGCCATTTAATCCACAAACAGTCATTGCAATTCGATTTTTTCTTGTTTTCTTTGAAAGCTCACAGTTGTCAGTCCATCAAAAGTTGGGCCAAAAAGAATTTAAAAATAAAAATGCAATAAATTTGTTTGATAAGGTAATTAAAGGTGGGAAATTTTACAGATTTAGATTTTAGGGAAAAATGATGTAAATTATAAAGACTCTAAAAGGTAAAAGTTAATAATTATTTGCAAATAAAATAAATGGGTTTGAAGTGTCTTAAAGAATTTACAAATATTAAATATACTTTATTGATTATTATAATAGAATTTCTTAAGACAATTTGTAGGCATTTTAAATGATATGTTGTAAAAGTTTTAATCAAATTTAAATTACATTTGCTATACTTTAAAACATTTCTTATATTTATTAAATTATCAAATTATTATTATTATGTGAAAAATTATCACAAGAATATGTATCAAGGTAGCAACATTTGTTTATATTTCCATTAAACATTTAAAAATGTATACTCTTTTGATATTCTGGCGCTGCTGATAAAAATGCATAAAATAAACGTCTTGATTTATTATATTTTTGTGTTTGTTGCATTTGAAACAAGTTTTGAACCCCTGATAACTCGCGTTGCATCTTTTGCTGTGGCATTTCCAAGGCATCGTATTACTTGAGAAGAATTCTGGCGAAAAAAAAACCCAAGGCGGATGCAAACCCCAGATCGAGAAATCAATAGAATAATACCCGATGCGATCGATGATATATAGCTACTAAGTTGGTGCGTATCGGAATTGAAATTAATAGTGTGGCTTTGCTGTGGTTTTTATTTTGCATACAAGTCGTGTTTATAATAACTATAAACTTTCGCTTTCCATTTGCCGGAAATAAATTCTTCAAATAATAATAACAAAAAACTAAAAATAAATAAAATATATATACATATTTATATAGAAATTTGATAACTTTTGGTTTCAGATTTCCCAGTGAAATCTATGAAAATGTCACTGCAAAAACCGCACAAAAGTTGCAACTTGGTTTTTTTTTATTTATTTTTTGCCCCTTGTGGGCGTGGCAGATGGCGCCTCTTCTTCTTCTTCTTCGGCAGCTTCTTCTATGCTCCATTTGAGACCCGGTTTTTGTGTTGCCTTTTTGCATAAATGCAAAATATTCCAGGCTCCAAACTGTGCCAGCTATGAGAAAAGTCTGTCTGTTGAGAAGGGGGAAAATGGAAGGGGGAGGGGGAAAGGAAAATGGTTGAGGAAGGAGTGGGGGTGAGGTAGAGCGGAAAAACCGGGGCGATATGTCCGCACGCAGGATACGAAATTTGAAATGTTGCAGCTGCACGGTCAACAGCCACAATAATAATTGCAAAAGTCCAAGGAAGTCGCTTGGTAAATACCTTGGAAAAATATACTTTATTTGATTATTTAATATTTCAAATGAAATTTATTCTTATATAATAAATATATAATTATTTATCGTGTAAATTTAAAAGAATTAAAAATAAAGGTTGCTATATATTTTGAATTTTAGTTTTACTTTTATTGTATTTTTTTTATTAGGTCTGTGTAAGGGTCTTACGTACTTTTATTGTAAGATTATAATAAAGATTTAATATTATACCAATAGATTAGATTATTAAATCATAGATAAATAGATTATACAATTTTAAAATTTAAGAATATACCTCTAGAAATCCCTGTATTTATTCAATATTTAAATATATTCTAATTGGCTGACAAATAGTTTAGAATACCAGTAGTACTTTTATTTTTTCTATTACATATAATGTTTAAACAATTAGGAAAATGTGTTTCAGAAAGGAAAGAAAAGATGTGAAAGTTTTTGAAATGAATCTAATACAAATAATGTTTAAAAAGAAAATATTATTTTCATAAAGGAAAAAAAAGGAAAAGAAACTCAATAAAAGACCTAAAAATAAATCTAATGAAAATAATGTTCAAATAAATATGAAAACATAATTTTTATTAACTGAAAAAAAAAAGAAAATGGGAGAAAGATTTAAAATATGTCAAATCTAATACAAAAATTGTTTAATTGAATAGGAAAACATCATTTTCATAAAGGAAAATAAAATATAACAAAAGTTAAGAAAGACCAATAAATAAAGAAAGATAAATAAATATCAATGTAATTGTACATAAATATCAGCATTCGCTTTCATATTTAATTATTTTGTATACAAGTTCTATACTTTTATTAAATTTAACATAGGTTAATTCACAGTATTGTATCTATATTATATTTTTTTTTATACGAGTTCTATACATTTATTAAATTTAATTTAGGTTAATTCATAGTACAGTATCTATATTGTATTTAATTATTTTTATAAAAAGGCTATATTATTATTATATTGAATTAAATTTTGTTTAATTTTTCATTCCTACCTACACTTATTTATACTTAAAAAAGAATTACTATACAAAATGCTTAAACTTAACTTGCATTAATTTGAAAATTACTTTTTCAAAAACCTTGAAATAACTACAAAAATATCTCCACTAAAATAACATCCAAATATATTATCTATTAGATTTTTCAAGTTCTTAGAAACTGTATCTTTATGGATTATGAGCTGCTAAAATTCATCCAGCATGCATTTTGTATTTATGGAACCATTTTTGAAAAAAAAAAAAAAAAAACCTTCAAGCCGAATTCCTATGGATCCTTCCGCTTGATTGGAGTTGCCAATTTCCAGGCCACAACTCGAAACGGAAGTTTTTCTGCCCATCGAGATGCGTTTTCCTTGGCTTTTCCTTTTTACACTTTTTCCCCCGCCTGTTCATCTGTTTTGATACCCTAGGAGAGGGTATTATAATTTTCGTTAGATGTTTGACAATTAAATGTTGAAAGGATGAGTGTAACTTTTAACTAGAAAAGTAAGAGAAGGTATTTAAAAATCATTAAAATTATGTAATTACTTCCAGGAGGATTTATCCTTTTTGTTTAAACAGAAATACATAAATTTCCATAACGTTTGATTTTATACATTTTCTATGTGAGAAAGGGTATACAAATTTCGACTTTTTTAAGTTGTCTTCCTTTCTTTTTATTATTATTCTATTTTAGTTTTTTTTTCTTATTTCTGCAGCATGCAAAACTTTGTCCAGGCACTCGGACTCAAAAGCGCCCCAAGGATGGGTCCGCAGTTCAGCTCCTTGAAAGCCAGTGGCGTCCTGGACAGGATCTCGAGGGGGGGCCACGAGGAGGCAGAAAGCAGGAAGCCAACTTTGAGGCAGAGCAGAAGTATCTGTTGCAATGTCACCGACTTGAAATGACCAAAAGGGGCCAAGGGGGAGAGAGGAGCAGCGGCTGGTAAGCGATAATGAATAATGTTGCTGGTGATAATGTTGCCGCCTCCGTCAGCAACACGAAACTATGCACAGAGGCTTAGATATGGCAGCGTGACTCACGACTTGAAAATATATCAAGTTGAGCTACAAAAAAGCTGGAATTTGGAAAGGAAAAATTCAGTTTATTTACAAATTACAAAAGAATATTTAGAGTTCTAAGAAAACTTGGAAGATCAAACCCTTAAGATACTAATATTGATCAATTTATTTAAGGGATCCTAAAAGAAACTATCGTATAAAGTAATTTCAGTGCCCAGAACCTTGAAATAAAAATACTTAAATTAACATTATCTTGGAAAAAATTAAAAAAAACTAATTAAAAAAGAATATTTAGAGTTCTAAGAATAATATTGATCAATTTATTTAAGGGATCCTAATAGAAACTTTCACATAAAGCCATTTCTGTGCCCAAAACCTTGAAATAAAAATACTTACATTACCACTATCTTGTAAAAAACTCAAAAAACTAATTAAAACAGAATATTTAGAGTTCTTAGAAAACTTGGAAGATTATACCTTTAGGAGAATAATATTCAATAATTTATTTAAGGGATCCTAATAGAAACTTTCACATAAAGCAATTTCTGTGCCCAAAACCTTAAAATAAAAATACTTACATTACCATTATCTTTTAAAAAATTCAAAAAACTAATTAAAAAAGAATATTTAGAGTTTTAAGAAAAATTGGAAGATTATACCTTTAGGAGAATAATATTCAACAATTTATTTAAGGGATCCTAAAATAACCTTTCGTATAAAGATATTAGTGTACCCGAAACCTTGAAATAAAAATACTTACATTACCATTATCTTTTAAAAAACTCTCTTAATTGTGCAGGTAAAATATCTTTCATAGTTTTCAGATATTTTTAGCTATTTTTTGCCGACTCACGCTCTCACTACCTCGAACCCCTTAACCTTTTGTGCGTGGGTGAGGGGCCAAAGTTCACGAGAATTCTGATAACATTCCAGTGGAATAATTTCTGCTACAATGACTGTCACTTGGCCAGACAACCATTTTGCCCCCCATTAACCCCCCTCTCGGTTTTGGACTTTGGACTTTTCAGCATTGATTCATGGCCCCCGTGGCAGCGTGCTTATGAATAACCATTCAAAAATGTCCCCACTTCTGCGACTCCCCATGCAAAGTTTTTTTAATTGAAAATTCAAGTCGTCATCGTGCCAAAAAAAAAAAAGGGGGAGAGCCGAGGCCTGTGCCGGTAAGCGGAAACACTTTTATCGCCGCATAAACAAAAAATCGAACAAAAACCAACGCAAGAAAAGTAAATAAATAAAAGTTTCCAATTCAGTTAAAATCAACGCGTAATATTTATGCTCGAACAAGCAATGTTGGGAGGGGAGCAAAATGGAGTCCAAGGTACATCTGGGATATACCCGCTTCGGGAGAAATCGGTGGCA